TGCTGAGGCCATGGAAGGGTGCTGCTTTCTAGCTTGTTCTCTATCCATGGCTTGCTCATCCTGCTTTCTTATACAACACAGGAGCCCCGGCCCTGCAGCGGCACCACCTACCATGTGCTGGGCCCTCCCACATCAACAATTAATCAAGAAGATGATGCACAGACATTCCTACAAGACACTGGGATGCAAAGACTTTTTCAGTTGAGGTTCCCGTTTCCCAGACGACTGACTGGTTTGAATCAGGGCTGATAAAGGCTAGCCACTGCAGAGCCCAGCTTTAGTGTTATAATGTGGTTTTTGTCAGTTTATTTTTGAAGTCCACAAGGTTCCTGAAATCTCTAAAACTGTTACGCCTTTCGGTTCTCTAATTTGACATTAAGTGCAAGAGATAGCCATCTTCTGTTTAATCTTAGCGCCCACCTTTTCATCTGTGTTTATAATTGTACAAACACCCAACAAAAGCCACGTCAAAACAAGAACCAATCTGGAACTAGAAGAACCGGTGGGAAAATTGAGTCACTGCTTGGCACGAGGCAGTTTAATCTATTCAGCCACAGCAGCCCTGCAAGCAGATGCGTGATTTGGAATCTGACATCTTACATACCAGCAAGTACTAGCTTATAAGCAGAGAGCTGAGGCATAAACACACAAAACGGGATGATTTCACCCCCGGTTCTATTAGTAATTGGGTTAAATGGCCATTTGGTACCAGTTTCAATATCACCACAATGTTAACCTTGTCTTCAAGAGAGTGAGCAATTATACTTTATCTTAATTGTCAAGTTGTCTAAATTTGAAATCTCTTAGGAGTCACACCACTCGGAGAATTTCCAGGAAGGGTTAACGAGGAGCAAATCCCAATCTGAACATGGGAATCACCATTCCGTAGACTGGGGTCCCAGACTGGATAAGAAGGAAAAATGGACAGAGCAAGTAGAGTGCCAGCATGCATCTCTCTATATATCCTGACTGCAACCAGTGTGACCGGCTCTCTCACGCTCCAGCCCCATAGCTAGAGCCACACTCCCCACCATGCCTACCCTGCCTCCAGCCATGATGGACTGTATCCCACAAACTGTGAGCCCAAATCAGCCCTTCCTTCTTTAAGATGCTTTTCTTGGGTCTTTGGTCACAGAAACAAGATGAGTAATTAACACAGCAATTTAGTTAATTGTCAAATGGTACCCTTCAAAAATCATATTTAAAGATTAACTACTACTGCATTTTGGTTGAGAGCCACGTTTTCTGGGTTTATAAACCCTTGAGGCTAAGATAACTTGTTCAATGTCCTACACTAGCAAGCCTTCTCTGCCTAAGTATTAATAAATTTAAATCATAATCCCAAGGTATAAGGAAAAGGACACACTGTTCAACTCCATCTACTAATGTCCTTTCTACCGATGAATTCAGACAGAACCTCATCGTCTCTTCCATTATAACCATGCTATTAACTGAAACTACCAATCATTTTGTTTGATTTCACTAGTAAATTTACTTGAACATTGCAGTTGCCTGTGAGCTATAAGCACAAGAATTGTCTGTAGGACCTAGTTTCATATTTATACATTTCATAAATATTTAAAATTTTTTATTGTATCTGTATGAGTGTTTCCCTGCATGTATGTTTGTGCATCATGTGATCCCTTGTGCTCACAGAGGCCAGACTAGACCATTGAAATCCCTGGAACCGGAGTTACATATGTGTGTGGGCTGCTGTATGGGTGCCAATAACAGAACTCATGTCTACTGAGCCATCTATCCAGCCGCAGAGTTAAATATATATTAATAACATATTAATGACATCACATGAGAAGCTGAATTTTTTATTATACATTAGATTCATTCAGTATTCATGTAATTATGCAAGTTGGACAGCCCTGAAGAAATGTTTCCTGAAAGCTCAGTCTACCCCTCTGTCCATAGGTGAAAAAGCTGTGTCTCTCTTTCTTTATGTTTTATATTCATGAAGACACTGGTATCTTTTTTCAATTTTTCTTATTTTTACAAAACAGAATTTGAACCCAGAGCTCCCAACAGCCCACTCAAGGCTTAGTTCATTTCCATGTGACCTGACTCCTGGATACTCTGATCTGGCAGCATAACCAAAGAACAGAAATGGAGGTTTGTTGGTTTGTTTTTATGTTCTCAAAACCAGCAAGTGAGGCTTTCAATGCTCCCCTCTAAGAATTTTCCCAACAACAAATCAGAACTGTCATAGGCATATAAAAAGACCTTAGTCTATTTGAAGTAGCCAGTAAAAACTCACTTATTACGCTAAAAAGTAATTTACAGAGAACCCCGAAGACACGTGTGGTCCTTGCTCAACTGGATGATCCTGACAGAAATCAAAAAAAAAAAAAAAATCCTTGGAATTCCAAGAAATGAGATCTGAATTGCATGGACAATCTGAAACTGGAGCTTGCATCTTCAGAGTACTATTCAGCTGAAGTGGAGGGAGAAAGGACGCTATTCCGAGAGTACAGGACTGGGGTGACCGTGAGAATTGTACAGTAAGGGCCCTGGGACTCAAGGCTTTACTGTGACTCCAGACGTGGGTGCTGGTCCCAGACAGTGATTGGCAGAACCAAACTGGAAGCTGTAGAACTTTTATAACACTCTTCATAGACACGAACATTACATTTTTACATTTATTTATTTATCATGTGTATGGGTGTGTCTAAGTGTGTGCACATGTGTGGACCATAGCTCATGTGTGGTGGTCAGGGGAACTGGCAAGCGTCTGTTCTTTCCTTTCACTATGGAGGTTCCATAGGGAACCAAACTCTGGTGGTCTGGCCTGGCGACAAATACTTTTACCTGTTGATCCATCTCGCCAGTCCATTTAAGAACATCTTGAGCACAATGAAGAAAAAAAAAAAGTGGTTGCACAAGGTCTCACTGTTAAAAGTTTGCAACGTTAAAATCAGAATTACACCCTACCAACCTCTGACCCACAGCACTTTCAACCACAGGATGATTTGAAGTGAGGTTGTCTGTCTGCTGTCATTGCTAAAACTACTTAAATGATTGCTGTCTAAATAATAGCTGTCATGTGACAAGAAGATCTAATCAAATATCCCCTGCAGTGCTCAAATGTCTGCTACCGGACCTTTATCAACAATCTTAAAGTTTCATAACATTCAAGTTTAAAACACAATCAGAACAACGATGCTACCTTCCAGAAACACATGACCATTTTGAAACAAAAGTAACCCCTGGCTATTATGTTACAGTTCTTTCCCTCGGATAAGAAAGAGGTAAACAGGATAGAATCACAGTGTTAGAACTTATGGACTTGGGGGGGGGATTTTTTCCTAATTACACGCTTTTAAGACAGTTCTAGGTTACAGAGAAACTGAGCAAACATAGAAAGGTTTTCCCATATGCCCTGCTCTCATGTGAGTTTAACCTCCGCTGCTGTTAATGCTGTTTCTAACCGCTGTCCGAGCACTATAGTCAACAAGCCTACAGTGGCATGCCATTGATGTCCAATGTCATAGCTTGCCCTAGAATTCACTTGTGGCACTGGTGATCTATGGGCTTTGACAAATGGATAATGACATGTATCCACGTATCACCAAGAATAGTTTAACAGCCCCAAATCCCACCTATTTGTTCCTCCCTTCTTTCCCCATGTTTTTTCGTGGTTTCAGCGCTCATTTATTGCTTAATATTGCTGAATAATTATTTTACTTATTAGTAATAAATTATTTATGTATGTAGGCATATCCGTGTGTGTCAGCCGATGTCTGTGCACATATGCATGCTTGTATGTGAAAGCCAGAGGTCAACCTTGAGTATTATTCCTTGGATGTCCTGCCTTGTTTTTTGAAACAGGGTCTCTCTGTTCATAGCTGGGATTCATCAATTCGGCTGGGACAGCAGTCCAGTGAGCCTCAGGGGTCATCTTGTCTCTGTCTCTCCAGTACTGGCATGGCAAGCACACTCCACCACTCCTGGCTTTTATAAATTATTTTAATAATAAATTATTTGTGAAAAGGTTATTAAATTATAATTAATTCAGTACTGCTGCTTTTAGCACTGGTCAATGTCAATCCCTCAACTGGAGGATATCTTGGTTACTTACAGATTAGGACAATCATGACTAAAGCTGTTATGAAAATTCTTGTGCAGGCGTTGTGTGGCTACAACCTTTCCATTCATTTAAGCAAATCCTAGAGCATATAAACACTACAGCCTATAGTCAAAGTCCATTTAGTTTACAAGAAACTGCATATGTGTATTGCATTAACCTAATTTGCAGCTCCTCAGTGGTCTCTGCAGCTGAACATCTCCCATACTCTCCTGCCGTCTGCCTCTCTTGAAGTGTACTTCAAATATTTCATCGTTCTTTAACCAGCTGTATGGTTTCTTTATTGTTGTGTTCTTTGTGTCTCTCAGATAATGTCCTCTGCAAATATTTGCCCCTATTGTGTGTCTGATATCCTCATTTATCTTGACATCGTCTTTAACAGGAAGGAAGTTACTGATTTTAATGATGTCTAGTTTCTCAACTATCTCCTTCATGTGGTTTCTACTGTACAGTCGGGTCTTGAGGTACATTTTGCATTAACTTTTGTGCAGGATGTCAGCTATTGTCTTGATTCATTATGTTCACTATGAGAAAAGACTTCCTTGTATTTGCTGTGTTGCCCTTACTCCTTTGGCCTCTTTTTCTCTATTGATTTTATTGAGCTCTACATTTTTCTCTGCTCCCCTCTCATCCTCTCCCCTCCACTTCAACTCTCTTCCTTTGTCTTTTTTTGAAGGCATTTACGTGAGTCTGTGTGGGGTTCTCCATTCTGTTCCGTGCGATCATTTGTTTGTCCTTTGTGAGTACGGCACTGCCCGGATTACTGAAGATCTCTAGAGAACCCCAAAGCCAAGTGTTGCCAGCCTTCCAACTGTTTTCCTCCATCAGCCCTGAGTTAGCCATTCTGCCTATTGGACTGTAAACTTTTTTAAAGTAAGCAGGGAATCACCATATAGCTCAAACTGACCTTGAGCAGGCTCTACTTCTTCAGCCTCCCTGGTGCCAGGATGCAGGTATGTATGCCACCCTCAGAACTCCACATAAACTCTACCACCAGTTTGTCAATATCCACAGGCAAGCTTGCTAGAGCTGGGGTTTTATTCAACTTGGAAAGGCAATTTGTTTCTGAAAAAAAAAAAAAAAAAGGTACATCATGACCCAACCAAGACTAGTAAGCAGCAATTTGGATTTATTTGGATTTATTTTTAATTTCCTTTCATGCCATTTTTACATCATCATCACCATCTTAACTTTAAAGCTACAAACTCCACACCTCCGGAAATCAGAGAAGCATCTGAGCCAGGTATGGTGATGCACACTGGTAAGTCTAGCACTGAGGAAGACGAGGCACAAGTGTCTCCCTGGGTTCAAGGTCAGTCTGAGCTATTTAATTAAGTTCCAAGCCAACCTGGGCTTCAGAGTGAAAGTCTAACTCAACTATAAGCTAACAAGAAGATCTGTACCTAGTCACCCAGTAATAGCTAACACCTTATTTTTGGAGATTTTAACTTCTACTCTCTCTTCTTTAGTTTGGTTGGTTCCCCTGTAAGGGTCTTGTAGTGTTGACCTCCAAGTATGACAAGTCTCCATGAAGTTAAGGGTGCCAAGGCATTTAGAGACAGCTCCCATGAGGACTGCCAAGGTGTGAGCTCCTTTTACAAACCCAAATATGACTTCAGCTTACTTCCAGTGAGCAATGTGAGTGGCACGTATCAGTGTGATGGTGCTTTAAATCTACCAAATCACACACACACACACACACACACACACACACACACACACACCTTGCACGTGGTGTTCAAGCTTTGATTAGACAAGGAAAGATAAGCGTGATCATGACGAGGACGGAGACAGTGGCACACAATGATGATGCTAAGAAACACAGCCCCAGCCCATGAGTGGGACCTGGCGGGAGCGGTTGCTCACTTATGCTGGTGCTGTCTCCTCCATGCCAGATTAGGAACTGTTTTATACTGCTTTTGACATTTTCCTCCGTCACTGCTGTGTGTGTCTCTGTCACCTACTGTCCTAAAGACAAAGACTCTGTTTGATTCTAGATCCTTCTATTTCATCTGTTGATATATTCATCAGCTATTAGTGGATGTCTACAATGATTCAGCCCTAGCTCTGTTGGGTGTTGTACTGGGTGTACAGAAGCTGTTTAAATAAATGAGACATTAGGCTATGGGCATATGACATTATGCATGGTTTGAAAAGAAAAAAAAATGTGATTTATTTTGTTTATACCTCCATAATAGCTAACAGAGAAAATGAAGTGTTTAATAAGTACATAATAACTCGTTGATTAAAAATAAAAGATACCAATGCAAAAACACTGTCATCAGAGCAGCTGGGTGAAGGGTGGGGAGGATGTGAGAACTCAGGACTGTGCTCTCAGTTCTTCTGTAGGGATGAAGTTGCTTTAAAATAGAAAGTTCACTGATTTCTAAAAGGAAACTGTAAAAAATAAAACACAACATTTTCGGTCGTTTTGTAAGACATTTGGCTCTATCACTTGCAGGAATCATTTCTGAATTTCTTTTTCTGAATTATTTAATCATATTTCAGCAAACTTTAAAGCACAAAATCTTATTACCTAATCCTGAATGGCAATTTTCCAAATCAAGTTTTTGTCCAAATGCATGTGATATATCCCAGAACCTAAAGCAATGACTGTCTGAAGACACGAGGAACAGGCAGTGATGATGGTCCCATTGGTAAAGAGTTTTCTGCACAAGCATAAGGTCCTAGGTTGGATGTCCCAGAACCCATGTTTGAAAAAAGAACCTGGCGCTGGGCGGAGGTGGCGCACGCCTTTAATCCCAGCACTCGGGAGGCAGAGGCAGGCAGATCTCTGCGAGTTTGAGGCCAGTCTGGTCTACAAGAGCTATTTCCAGGATAGACTCCAAAGATACAGAGAAACCCTGTCTTGATAAACAAAAACAAACAAACAAACAAACAAAAGAACCTGGCATGGTGGCACATGCTTGCAGCTCTAGGTTATGGGGAGATAGAGACAGGCAGATCTCTAGGACTTGCTAGCTGGCCAACCTCATTTTCTTGAGGAGAGAGAGATTTTATATACATACATATATATATATGTATATATATACATATATATATAAACTTGGACATGTACAAACAAAGAAAGAAATGATCATAAATTATTATAACCCCTAAAACTTAGAACTTAGAAGGTATATACCAAATAAATAATTGCTGAGGAATTGCTAAATCAATAGAGAAAAGCAAAATTATAGTAGACAATGCAAGAATGCTATATAATTCATTATAGATAGAAATATACTTTTTATATACCAATTAAAATTTTAATGAAAATAAACCTTTGAGTTTTAAAAAAAATAACACCATTTGAGAAGAAAAGGTTAATGCGAAACCTTTTGTCTTAGACAAGAGAATTCAGACATTATCTCTGTTCCATGTCTTATAAATTCCTAATCTACTAAATTTAAAAAGAAAAATTAAAAATCACTAGATTACTCTAATTCATCTCTCATCTCAATTTATTATGACTTCCTATGCCATTAAGACCTTAAACACAGAAGTGGGAGAGATGGCTACATGATTAAGAACATTTGCTGTTCTTGCAGAGGCTCTGAGTTCAGTTCCCAGCACACACATCAGGGAGCACACAACCACCTGTAACTTTAGCTGCAGAGGATGCAATGCCCTCTTCTAACCTCAGTGTTCACATACAGACATATATGTATTTACACACACACACACACACACACACACACACACACATACACAACTTTAGCAGTTTTTCTCATCTTTATAAAAGACCCTAAACACAATCTTTAGCAAACTTAACTGGGCAGACTCCTATGAAAGATACCAATAGGTGTCCCCACAAACCATCTTCCTATGAACAATACTTTTCAGTTTCCAAATCACTACCTTCTCTGAACTGCCCCCCCAAAATAGAGAGAATAAAAATTCATGAACAAGACAAATGAGATTGTATGTATCTCCATGAAGATAAGGCTCCTCAAGCAGTACATGTGAAAAATAATAGTGCTGAATCAAAACCTCACCTGTCGAGTTCTTCCCATCACCTGCTCTTCCCCCATCTCTCACTAGAGCACCAGGCAGCATTAACCTCTGAGCAAGTTTAAGGAGGCTCAGCAAAGATTTAAGGCGGGCATGAAGTACAGCGACAAGACTCTATTGTCAACAAGGCTTAGTTTCTAGAAAAGTCATGGAAGCTCAGCACGGCGGCAACAGTCTAAAGCCAGCTTTTCAGCATCTTTGCCTGTGCATTCATCTTCCAGGCCAGGCCAGTACTGACAAAGCTGACCTCCCCTGTGTTTACATGCCAAAGTGCAAGTCTAGCTAGCGAGTACACAATTTGTCAAACGACAGGATCTTACGGGGCTAGAGAAACTACAGAAGCTTGGAAATACTCAATGGTTCCACAGAAAACATTAAGAACAGAAAACAAAATTTAGAATGGACCTCAAAATAAGCAAATCGTTTATAAGCAATCGTCTATGGAGCATGAGGTCTTGGTTATAATATATTGAAATATATGCAAATACAGTGAGTAAAAGAAACTTAAAGTCCTTCAGTTTCACCACTGGGCACTGGAGTTGCAGCAAATATCACTGGACAGTTATCTAGACATATTTGCTAAGCTGTGTTATTTTGAAAAAAAGTCGAACAGAATTGAATTGAAATGCCTTAAACTCATGTCAGCACAAATACTTATCACTGGTTCAAGTTAAAAAGACCTGGATAACACCACAAAATGCCAGCTCCCATAGTCCACCTTTGGGTATTTTGATTTAATTGCTCTAGAAGTCCTTAAGGTCTATGCATGGTCCCACATTACTGCTGAACAAGTCTCCCAAAACATCACCCTATCAGCTTTGAGGACACACACTGGGGTTTTGAGCCCAGTTGCTGAGTTCAGAGGAACTCTGGGATGCCTGGGAATATTGGGCACATTCATGGCCTGGCAAGCCCTGTCGGCAAAGAGTCAACTGGTTCACATGCTGCACAGCTCTCAGCAGATCGGGCACATAAAGAGTGTACTGTGTCTGTATGGCAGACAAGTTCACATTGGTGTGAGCTAGCGCACACTAGCATGTGTGGTCGTCCAGGTTTTTAGGTGGGGCTTGCTTTGGCCTGTGTGTTGGAGGTGATGGAAAACACCTGACGGTGCATCTTCCCGAGGAAGTTGAGGTGGATGCCTGGGTGAAAGTCAAATTGACGTGACGCGGCATTGATAGGTGGGAGGCACTCTGCCTTTACTAATGCATCTGCTTGAAACGCTCTAATGTGGAGAGTGCGGGACTAAATTTCCATTAGGAGATACGGATCCAAATGGCTTCCATTTCCAGAAGCGGCTGTGTGAGAGGGGAAGAAAGTATTGCAGAAAGGCTGGGGAGGAGAGAGAAGGGCGAGACTTCTCTGGATGATGCCTCCGCTTTGCTCTTGGACAGGAAGACTGTTGATCCAAAGATTCTGGAAAGACCTTCTCAACGCCTCTTAGTTCTGAGGTTTATAAAAGCAACATAATCTTAATCGGAAACAGAGGTAGAGGTTCCGCGTGTTAGCTTTCCACCCCCACCTCAGGAACACTGCCACCTCTCTGACTACAAGACCAGAACAGGCAATGTGACCTAGAAGATGGAGGGAGATGTGCCTGCCAGGGAGATGACCCTGGGCCCAGATCTGCCCTCAGCTAGCTGGGATGCTCCTCCTAATTACACCTTTCTCATTCAAAGACGGAGAAGATCCCAGAGATGCTTAAAGTAACATATTGGCCTTCATCCTGCTCCACTTAGGATGAGGAACCATGGAAAAGCCAGACCAGAAAGGAAATTTTCAGAGGGTAAATCTATTTCTCCATGAGGCAGAATTGTTTCCATTGAAAGATGGGCGCGAAGGGCTGGGGAGATAGCTCAGCTGGTGAAATATTTACCACACAAGCATGAGAACCTGAGTTCAGTCTCTGGAAACCTATGTAAAAACACCAGCTGAAGACACACGCTTGTAATCCTGCAATACAGGGCCAGAGATAGGAGGATCTCTGGAACCCAGGGGCCAGCCAGCCTGTCTTACTCAGTGAGCACTGGGCCAGTGAAAGATCCTGTCTCAAAAAACAAGGGGAATGATACCTAAGGCTGACCTCTGGTCTCCATACACATGTGCACACCGGTTCATGTGCTTTCTCTCTCTCTCTGTCTCTCTCTCTCTCTCTCTCTCTCTCACACACACACACACACACACACAGATGGGAATGAAGAAAAAGCCCCCCCTTCAGAGAGTCACACACATAGTCCCATCCAAACACCCTCCCACAAGTCTGCACCAACTGCCAGACTCAGCGGGACAAAAGCTGCTTCCCAGTACAGTCAGGAACATCTCCTACAAGTCTAAGAGGCAACATAATGAAGCCCTTCTCAACCCTTAAAGTGCTTTCAGGCACATGTCTCTTAGAACAGGAAAACTCAAGAGCATTCTTATTTCCATGCAGAGAACACTGAAGTTGCAGGGCAGAAAGCCCTTAAAAGTGAAGACAGAACCTAACCTGGGTCTATCAACTCAAAACGTCCTGGGCTCTCGGCATAACAAAGCTAAAGAGACATCGAGTACCTAGACATTAGCCCACATCTGACACCCAGGTGAGTGTTTCTCCAAGCACAGGTTCCAAACTTTTCCCTCAGCCTGACATCGGCACCTCCTGGTCACCCACTGAAATGTGGAATTTGACGCCAAAAGTAAGCAAGTCCACGTGTGGAGGGGGTGATGGGAGAACTGCCTCCCCCCCACAGCAGGGAGAGCCGGGTGTTAGCAACGTTTAAGAGCATTAGTTGTATTTTCTTGACCAATTCATTTCACTTCTCTATGTCTTAAAATCCTTTTACCATAAGATAGGAATAATGCCTGTCAGAATCGTGGGAACTCAATCAAATAACAGTCAAATCTCTGAATGTGGAGGATGGTCAGATCAAGGATTCAAACGTTAGATTTTTTTTGTTTCATTTTACACACACACACACACACACACACACACACACACACACACCGAGGGCCACTAGCTGATGAATCATTACTCCCATCTTCTCTATTGCTGATAACATGCTTAAGATGACCTTCCTCTATTGTTTCATCCAAATCTTAAAAATAAGGCTGAGGAAGAGCTCCGGAGTGCACCAGGAACTCCCGCCATCAGCTGAGTGCGTTTTCCCATGTCATTTCTAATGTGCTGTGAGACCCTGAACAAGCCAGTCCCCTGCTATTATTTTTTTTGAAATTTGTTCAATGAGAGGGTCAGAAGAGATGGCGATAGCAAAGACCCTTTTCCGGACTCCAGTTGCCCCTGGGAAGGATGCGGAAAGCTGAATGGTTAAAATGGTGCTGAAGCCGCCACTGGCTTAAGCGCTCCCAACCCTCCTCAAATGGCTGACCTGAGTATGTCTGCCACTCTGAGAGAACTCGCTCACTTGGATGGGCCTCTTGAACCCCAGCCAGGACTCTGGGTCCCAATTGGAAACAGCCCCAAGTTCTCTGATAACAAAAGGAAAAGCCCCCAGGACCGGGGAGACTGCGAGTCTGGGAAGCGATTGCTCCGCGTCACCCACTGCAAACCCTCCAGGCAGCTGGCCTTCCCGCCCAGCCACCCAAGCCCAAAGGTCAAGCCACCCCTCATCCACAGACCTCACCCACAGTTGACCTTCCCACAATTAAATCACAAAAGGTGCTAGGTCGCGTTCTCACCAAAACTAAGGCCCTTCAAACACCACCACTCAATGCCTGAAAACACAGCTCCTGGCCCTCCTTGCTCCGGCAGCCCAACTCTGTGATCGGCCTGTCTTGCCTGCCAACATTTCCAACTCTGCTAGCGCTGTTTATTGTACCTTGCAGCTGCTATGGAGTCATGTACTTCGCTTCGGCCTTCTTTGGTTATTGGTGCCTCTTCTTCCTTCCCTGACACAAATCCAGACCCCAAAACGTGAACTCTGCCTTGGTCCTGAGTCTGTAGAGCCCGGCTCCCGCCCTTCCTCCTTGATTCAAACTGTCCGCTGCCGCTTTTAAAACTTTTCCTGACACACACCAAGAGAAGTACACTCAGAGCTTTCGTTTTTGAAGAAGAAAATGAAGAGAGAGACAAAAAAGAGGAAAAAAAAAATAGAGCCACATCACTTACTTCCATCCAGGGACGCCAGTTTTGAAAAGCAGAAAACGGTTATAATCCAATGTGTTTCCCCAACTCCAAAAGAAGAATTTGTTGTGAACCACTTCTTTTTCCACTTTGCCGGTGAAGGAGCCCCCGTGGTAGGCATACATCCACAGGCTGATGCAAGATGCCTTTGAGAGAAACCTCACATTCTGAGGATTCCTGGGCCTGCGCCAAGGATCCCAGCATCCAATATATTGCACATTTGCTTTCAATTAGGAAGGGGGCTGGGGAGGGAGAAGGCAAGTCACCAATCAGAGCTGTTTTCTGTTTAGAGACTATTTCTTTTGACCCAAGGGACCACGAGCAAAGCTATAATTTACAGCAAAACCCATTCATAGAAGAAAAATATGTATAACCATAGGACAGACTTAAAGACGCGGCTCCCTCCTGCCCTCTCCCTCCTCGGGCCTCCCCGTGCCTTTCCCCTCCATCTAGGACTTGGTCCCACCATAGGATAGTCACCCCACCACCATCTCTTTTTCTTACTGGAGCTGAAGCTATAAGAACGACTTCAGTCTTGTACTCTCTTCCTTTTCACGTTTCCTGGACAGTTGAGTCACAGGCATGGAGCTGATCCTTCGTGTTTTGGCCATGAGAACTCAGAGCTGAGTCCTCGAAGAAGGTTTGATTTAATCCCTCCCACCCCCACTTCCTATTCTACTTAAAAAAAAGAAAAAGAAAAGAGAGAGAAAGAAAGAAGAAGAAAAAGAAGAACCTGGATGGTTCTGGCGTACAGGATTTCTCCTTTTTAAAAAATTCAGTCCTCAACTGGCTCCTGCTGAGATTCCTGCTGCTAAAGGAAAACACAAAGATTTACAAACTTTCCAAATATTTTGTAATTTTTTTTCCTCTTCTCACCCAGCCCCTCCCCTCCCCAGCAGTCTCCTGTCTGTGGCCAGAGTGAGGCATCATGTGAAAATGGCATGTAGGTGACAGGGGAGGGACACTTGCTGGGCTCTCCTAACACAACTAATAGGCTTGTCCATCCACCCAGGTTCTGCCCTTAACCCTTCAGAGCCTGGATCCCTCTTGATAAAGCACAGGACCTAAGGGTCTTGATTTTCTGTGTGTATGGTGGTCACTGAGTGAGCAGAGCTGTAGAGAAGGCAGACCGTCACGGGTCAGTTCAGAAGACTCAGCCTCCCTTTGAGAGCGAGCCTCTTCCCGGTGATACCTCTTCCTGCGGGTTTCTTCTGAGTGGTTGCCAACTCTTCCCTGCCTTCATCTGAGTAGACAACCGGAGAGGTGGGGCTTCTGGGGAAAGGGGATGGGAGACCTCAGTAAGTGCGGGACTTGGCTGGTGACACACATAAAGCCCCAGTTGGGCTGTATGAAATGAAGATTTATACTGCCAGGGGTGAGTCACTCAAGGGTCAGAAGCTCAGCACGGGCCCCAAGAGTCAAAAAGCAGCTGTGAAAGCCATGTTCCACAGTGGGAGAGGACACAAAGAATGAGAAGGCTGTGCCAAGGCCAACCACACTGACAATGATAGACAGAAAATACAACTGGGGAGAAGAAAACGAGAATCGGGTTTATTTTACAAAGATAAGGGCAGAACAGAGATGCACCTCTTGAGAGGACCATTCAGTGTAGAGCATGATATCAGGTGTGAGGGGTGACTGAGGCCCAGACATTTAACTCAGTTTGATAAATACTTACAAAAGCCATGGTTCAGACACTTCACTGGGGGCTTGCCAGAGACCTCCATGGACATCTGGCTGAAGACACATGCTTAGAATCTGCCTCCCCATGTCTGCGAACCAGGTTTGGTGGGGTCACAAGTTAAAGCTGAGAAGCCACGGAATAGCTTTGCAAAGACTGAACCTAATAAAAGACAGGTATCTGTGGATGTGTGTCCTCAAACACCAACATCTCTCTAATGCTGCTCCGCAGGCCAGACTGTTCGCTTATGTGTGTCTATAATTATTCTTAAGCCAGCATTGTTGACATCAAAACCCAAATCCCCTGGCTGTGTCTGAGGATGGATGAACAACCCCATCAGGAGTTTGTGTGCAGAGCAAGGAGACTTCTGGGGGAAAGTGAAGAGTAGAGAGAACCACCAGGCTTTGAAAGGTGCGAGTCCAGGATCTGGAGGAATGGGCCAGTAGGCAAAGGGTTTGCCACCCGAGCATGAAGAGTGAGTTTACATCCCTATGTCCACATTAATACTACCACTAATAGTAATAATAAAAACCTGCAACTGCCTATAATCATTGCAGTGGACACAGAAGGATCCCCGGGGGCTTAGTGGCAAGCCAGTGTAGCCAAATCAGCAAGCCCTGGTTTTAGTGAGAGACTATATCTCAGGGGGAAACAAAGTAAGAAGCTATTGAGAAAGAAACTAGACATCAACCTCTGGCTTCCATACCCGCTAGCCTACACACACACGCACACAGGCATTCACACACACGCATGCACATGCATGAACACACACACACACACACACACACACACACACACACAATGAGGAAATGTAAGTCCAGCTAAATTTTGCCAAAGGTAAGTAAGGAGTAGCTTAGAGAAAAAAATGCTGCATTTGTCATTCAAACCATTACATCACCCCAAATTCCCTGTTGTTCTGGTTAATTTGAGCCACATCTCAGGTCTAATTATGAACTCTAAGAAATAGATACTATCAAAACAAGAGCAAGAAAAAGCTAAAAGTGGTATTTCACTAAAATACTTAAGTGCCACTTACAACATTAGGAGGAATTGATTTTGAGAGTTTTTTTTTTTAATGAGTGTTTTGCCTGTATGTATGCCTAAGAACCAGATGTGTGCCTAGGACCCTGCGACATCAGAAGATGATGCTTGATCCCCTGGAACTGGTGACCATCATGTGGGTACTGGGAACTGAACCTGAGTCCTCTGGAAGAGCAGCCAGTGCTCTAAGCCACTGAACCAGCTCTTCAGTCCCAGAAGAATTATACTTGAGCCTCAGTTTCCCAGGCCCTCTCTGGTGGAGCCGGGAGGGCTGGGCCTCTTTGTCATTTGGAGAGTCCTTGCTGGACTGGAAAGAAAAGAGGTAGCGAATGTTGCTTAAAAGCTTAGAGGACCAGTTCATGGAGCACAAAAGAAAATTCCTGAGGGTGTTAGGACCGTTTGACAGTTTTGAGTAAGCTGGACTCCCTAGTGCTGAGGGAGCAGATGTGGAGACAGACTGATTTATCACTCTTTAGTGTGCAGATTCTACCCCCTGGTTTGTTTGGCTTGGGAAACATGAGTCATAGTGATCAGAATTATTTTTATTCCATAGAAGGTAATACCTCTTACTTAGGATTTCTTTTTTACGCTGAAAATGAATTAACTGAGAAGCAACACACAATTCCATTAGTAGGGTCTTACTAAAAAAAGAATCTTTCTATGTAGGGTGCTGATGACACAGTGGTCCAGGTGGGGGTGTAATAGTATAGACCACTTACCGAAGTATGTGCAAGACCCTGGGTTCAATTCCCAACACCGCCCCCACTCCACACAGAGCAGTCCCAATTAAGGAAACATGAAAATGGCAAATAACTTTTCAAGAACTTGTCTTAGTTTGCACCTGAGATCCGAGTAAACAGAAGTGCTGAGACAGAAAAAACTACTGCTATCTCACCTGTAAGTGTGTAGGAGCTGGACACCTCTGGGCGCCTTCAGGAAGCAGCTTGCAGGGCTGTGAGGATCTGATGAGATAATGAATTAAGTAAAATAAATTTAATGTATCCTTAAAAGGATATGTGCATTTCCACAGAAATTGTCTGCCAATGACCTAGACCATGATTTCTCTCCGCCTTCTTGTTTTGCCTTCCACTTTCTGTGTGCATTCATTTCTTCCCCTCTCCTACCAGGCAGCAAACCAGTTTGTGTGTGTGTGTGTGTGTGTGTGTGTGTGTGTGTGTTTCTTTTCATACATATCTAAAGGTGGTAACCCTAAAATAGTACCTTAGTTCTTTATTTTATCCCTCTTCACTCCAAGTAAACATGACAAGATGACTGGAGTATTTGGAGCCCGATTCCAGAACCTAGGGATGCAGAATTTAGTCAGGTGTGTTCCATGTGTTCATCTTCTACAACTGAAGGGCTGCCGGAGGTGATACATGATGTCCTAGGACTAGGGCTCCAAGAGTTCATACTCATGGGTAAGTTGGTTATCAGAAAACACTAGACAGAGTAAGCAGACAGCCAAATTGTTTCTATAACAATAATTACTAAAGACTGATTATGCCTAGATTGTAAAAAGCATTATACCACACCAACATGAAAACAGTAAACAGTGCATACAGTGGAGTTGGGTAGGAGGGACCAAAGGAAATATCGCTTTTCTGCTCTAAATATCTAAACAGCCGCATAGACTGTTTTCGGTTTCCTCTTGGGAGTTTGCTCGTGATTATCAAATCTTCACAGGCTTACGAACTCTCTGTAGACCCATGTGCTCCGAAGCATGAATACTGTCTTTCTATGTTAAAGTCTTTCAAAGATCAGCCTAGCTCTGAGATAGTTCCCTTTCTAGTACAAGCCTTCACCCTGCATGCTAATAGATGTTCTTCTTCATGGGGAATGATTGAAAATCAAATACCCACAGGGCAGAATCACCTTGAGCAAACCCTTAACTGGTCATAAAATAAAGAGCAATATGAGCAGACAACTTGCATGGTTGAGAGGATCTGATGAGAGATAATGAATTAAGTATTATTTAATATACATAACACATAAGATAAAATGTATTAAGTGCTCACAATGTGCCAGGCACCCTTTTAAGAAACTTACATCTATCACTACTTCTGATATACACAACGATTTGTAGGGAGGGGACACTGACATCCTCTGTATCCACAGAAGGAACTGATGTACAGAGATCCCAACTTGCCCAAATCTATGCCTTGTGGAACTAGAAGGCATGTGTGCACACATTTGCTTTGCTAACAATAAAGTGTGTTTGCACGGTGAACAGAAAAGATTGAAGAACCCTTGGGAAATCATGTTTGACTTTTCAGAGACTGAAGCCATGTCGTGCATACGAGAACTCATTTCCTTTCCCAGCCTTCTCCGCTCCTGAAACCCATCTCTGACCGTCTCTTTCCCCCAGGACTTCTACCAGAGAATGAAGTGAGAATTAAGAGAGAATTTCAAATGGGGCTATCTGCTGACTGTTTGTAGAGCAGAGTACAGAAGAAGCTGGGGTTAATGGTGAAAACAAGAGTCCTTTTGTCTTTGTTCTGAACAATGCTACATATAATATATCACAGTTTAAAGAGTGCCTTTGCAGACATGACTTCATCTGATCCTCAGACAGCCCCAATATGTACTCAGTGCAGATATTAATATCCTTGTGTTACACATGAGGAAAAGGGGGCCTGCAAATCAGGATCTCACTTGAAGATTTTGGCTTGAAGATTTCAGCAGTGGCATTTGAGCTTTTGTCCAGTTTGTCCAGTTTGTCCAGTTCTTTTGATGCTGCGTACTCCCTCTGTGTAGTTGGTATCAAGAGCAAACCTTCCCAGAGCCTCTAGACCAGATGGTTGCTCACCTGATTCTAGTGGACACAGCGGCCTGTTTCCCTGCCTTCTGCTCTTTCTTTCCTCTCTGAGTAGACCTCCTGAGAAGAGGGGTGAAGAAGCAAGACCAGGAAACTTGGAGCCATAATTTGGCTTGGGTTCCTGTAAAAA